TTCCCTTTAAATCTTAACTCACAACAGTATATATACCTTTTTTAAGAGATAACTAGCAAGAGAAGGGCAGTTTTATTTTATCCATCAAATCAGAGGGTTTGCTCCTCCAAGAGGTTAATGCTTGCTCATTCCGTACTAAAGTGATCTGATTTTAGTCAAACGTGCATTGTAATCGTATATGATAATTATCTTACTATCATTAATTGTTGTTGTCGTTCTTGTATAACCATAATCAGAACCCAGCTGCTTGGTTCTCTCTTCTTTCACAAGTGTGCTCAATGAAATTGCAGTTACCTGCAATTATGATACATGTAGATTTCATGTCCTAGAGTGTGGTTAGAAACAGTTATTCAACTTGCAGTCTGCATCAGATTGCACATAAAATCATTAAATAACTTGTAGGATATGAATTATTGGTTTTTAATTGTGTACATTTGCCTCGTTTTCCAATATTAAACTGATATTCTCTTTTCCCATGGGAATTTCGGATTAATGGTTCTCTTTTATAGATGTTTTATTAACCACATGGCTCAATTTGGTAAAGTAAACCTTTAATGTAACAATATTCCATTTTATCTCTGTATTCACAGAAACTAAATCATGGACAACAAGGCATGGCTTTGGAGGAAAAAATCTTCAGAAAAGACTATTGTTGCTGACAAAGTTGACATTACACTGAAAAGAATTGATGAAGAGGTAACAGAATCTCCTCTACTTCGTTTGACACACTTTTTATACATAAGTTTCTGATATACTTTTGTTATGCATTGTATAAGGTACAAAAACTTCCAACAGAAAAAGCAGTAGGACCAGAGAGATCTGTGAAAAATCTTAATGAGAAGTTAGCTTCAGTCCTCCTCGATTGTCATCCTCAAGATGACCTTCTGAGAAAACATGCAAAACTTGCCCAAGAAGCTGTTGCAGGTGAATCACTGTTATCCTTTTCCTGCCAACTTTTTTCCATATTCCATAGCTTTCCCTTCTTTGAATATTTACTTTTTATATTCTGATTCAATGAATATATATTTTCTTAGGCCGGGAAAAGTCAGAAGTGGAAACAGCTTTCCTGAAAAAAGAACTCAATGAAGCTTTGAGGCATGGACTTGCTACAGAAGAGAAATTAGCTTGTTCAGATACAGCATTGATGAAATGTAAGCAGCAGTTAAACTTTGTTCAAGAAGAACAGGAGAAAAGGATACATGATGCTGTCATGAAGACATCCAATGAATTTGAGAAGATTCGAAAAGAATTGGAACATAACTTAGCAGAGGCTAATAAAAGTCTTGCGAAGTTAGCTGCTGAGAATAGTCATTTAAGTAAGGCTCTCCTAGTCAAAGAGAAACAGATTGAAGATCTACACAAAAGCAAGTCTCAGGCAGAAGCAGAATTTAATACACTAATGACTAGATTAGATGCCACAGAAAAAGAAAATGCTTTTCTGAAGTATGAGTTTCGCATTCTTGAGAAAGAGCTTGAGATTCGGAACGATGAGATGGAGTATAACCGGCGATCTGTTGATGCAGCACATAAGCAACACTTGGAGAGTGTGAAGAAAATCGCAAAACTTGAAGGAGAATGTCAGAGACTACGACTTTTGATGCGAAAAAAGCTTCCAGGTCCTGCTGCTTTGGAAAAGGTGAAGGCTGAATTCAAAACCGTGGGAAGGGATCAGATGGAGATGAAAAGAAGAAATTTGAAGCCTTCAAGAGATTTGATAGTTAGAGAAGCCATAATGGAGTTCTCTCCTGAAAATTTCAGTAACAATTCCCTTCTGATTGAGCGATTACGTGATATTGAAGAAGAAAACAAAACTCTGAAAGAAACTGTGACTATGAAGAGCACTGAACTCCAGGCTTCAAGGATGATGTATTCCCGTACAGCTTCCAGATTATCTCATGTTGAGGCTCATCTTAAAGAGCTATGTAAAGTTCAGAAACCTATGGAGCTGGCAATTTGTGGCCCTGTATCTAGTGAACTTTCCATAATGCCGGTTCACAATGCCAGTGATGATGGGATTAGCTCTTCTGGATCATGGGCTAATGCTCTAATTTCGGAATTGGAACATTTCAAAGCTGGAAAACTCAAGCATCAACTGGAACACAAGCCTATTGATGTTTCGGACATGAGCTTAATGGATGACTTTGTAGAGATGGAGAAATTAGCTATAGTTTCTCTGGAAACAGCCCCTGGTGGTGGCTGTCAGCCTGATGTAACTGGTAAGGAATTAGTTCCAGTGGTACAAAGTCATTCCAACCCTACCGAGACAAAACCAGAGATCCACTCAGAAGATATAGCCACTGAAAAATCTTTTGACTGGCTCCAGGTTGTTTTGAATGCAATGTTGAAGCAAAAACACATTTCAAAACAAAGTCTAAATGAACTTCTAGAGGATATCAGAATTGCTTTGGGTTTTATAAAGCACCCAACTGTCTCTGAAGCTGAATCAGTTGCTATCTCAAGGCATACTGGAGAACTGAAAGCTCTTCAGATTAGCGGTGACATAGCTTTGAAATCTCCAAACTTATCTCCAACCTCACATTCCTTGGATGCAGATTCTGGAATTGACACGTTAATCAAAGAAAGAAGCAGCCAACACCTTGAGTCTAATCTGATCAAGTCAATCCGTAAAATCATTAAACTTATTGAAGGATTCACTATATCATCTTCAGTTGGTTATAATGCTTCAGATAGTTTTTCAGAGAGGGATAGAAGTTCCTTAAATTTAGTGACACCTGTGCACTACACTGTCCATGTCTTTCAATGGAGGAGTTCTGAACTAAGTGCTCTTTTGCAAAAGTTGGTTTGCACTTGTAATGATCTATTGAATGGAAAATCTGATCTTGAAAAATTTGTTGGGGAGCTGTCATTTGCTTTAGACTGGATTATAAACAATTCTTTTGCCCCTAAAGATGCTCCAACCACACGGAATAAGATGAAGCATTTTGGTTGGAATGAACCGGAAGGTGAAAATGAAGTTGGAGCTGCAGTGGATGGTTTGCTTTTGGAATCAAACACAGTCCATAAATCTGAAGAGCAATCTTCATGTTTAGTCTCAGCTAGTCCTTTGCATGACCAAAATGTTTCATTCCAGACAGAACGTATTCAGGGCAATATTCAAGGGGAAAACAAGAGACTAAAAGATGAGATGAGGAATATAGAAGCTAGGCTGGAGTCATTTACCAATAAGAGCAAGGCCTTGATGATACAACTTCGTGAATCAGAAGACAACATTGGAGCACTAAAAGAAGAAGTGAAAATTTTAAAAGAATCGAAAGAGATGATCGAGGATCAGATTGAAAATCAGAAGTCAATCAATGAAGATCTTGATACTCAGCTTACAGTTGCCAAAGCTAAATTGAGTGAGGTCTTCCAGAAGTTCTCATCTTTGGAAGTTGAACTGGAGTACAAAAACAATTGTTGTGAAGAATTAGAAGCAACATGTCTTGAGCTTCAACTCCAGTTAGAGAGGTAACATTATGATTTCTCAGTTTCCCTTTGTAGTAAACAAAAATTTTCCTAGACTGCAAAGGAGCTCTAATTTACATGTTATGTAACTCCCAGTGTTGCAAAGAAGGAAACACCAAAGTATGGCACAAATCAGGAGGGAAAGCGATCTCAAAATGTAAGTTATTATCAGTTGTTACACATTATAATTAACTTATTGTTTTGTTCACAAAAATAGATTCACCTACATAGAAACCTTGAGAATAGCTAACTGAAAACAGTTACATTTGTCTGATGAATTATACTAACTAGTACCAAAGAATTTGATCACTTCCATTTCATAATTTGTGACTCATTGACTTTCATCATATAACGACTGCCAAGATGTAGCTAGATTATTTTATAGTTAGATCATTTCACCATAGGGAAATCTTACATTTTGCATTAATTGCAACCTCTTTTAAGAAGGAAAACCATCAGTGCAACTGAGAAAAGAAAACAATTAATAAATCACTGCTTCGACATGAATGCTGCTGTTTAAATATGCAGGGTTGGGAGATTACAGCAGCTTCCGTGAAGTTGGCAGAGTGCCAAGAGACCATTTTAAACCTGGGAAAACAGTTAAAGGCACTGGCTTCGCCACGGGAAGCAGTGCTTTTTGACAATGTTTTTTCTAGTACCAATTCTGCAACCACTACAGCTATTAACAAGAAGTTGAACAAACGTTTCTCCTTACGCGATCAAATGATAGCAGAAGATGGTGCTAAGGCAGAAGTTGTCAAGTCTTTCCATAAGAAAGGAACTTTAAGTATTGAAGATGTACCAAAACCATCACTTCTTGACTCAAAGGATTGCAATTATTTACATGATCCTAATGCACTGGTCCACACTCCAGACACATATCGTGATTCAAAGAATAAAGCCAGTAATACTGCAGCAAGCTCTCTAGCTATTGTGCCAAGCAAAAAACGAGGAATTGGTTTACTGATGAAACTACTGTTGAGAAGGAAGAAAGGGAGCAGCAAGAAATCTAAACCGTTAGCCATGGTCTAAATAGAAAATATAAAGAAGCCACGGTCCATGGCAAAGTTGAAGGAGAACCACTGCTGCCATAGCAGCAATAGCACATGTTCGATGAAGAAATAAATCCAGTTGTCTTCATGCTTCAGTTGTTGATCATTTGCTGTTTAATTTTCCACCTTGGTGATTGGAAATGGTGAAAACTTGGCTTCTTTGGATCTTTTACTGTGAGACTAGAGCGAGAGAAGGGATATTGTTTTATAGCATCTCTTAAGTGTTGCTAATGTAAATATATCTGGTTTTATGCCCTGGAGATCCAAAGTAATTCTGTATTGAAAGCTTGCGCGAGAGAGTGGTCATCTGTTGTGGGGTTGGACCATAAAGCTTTATGAATTGAGAATTGATTGAAATTATGGCATGTCAATTGAGCCGAAGTGCTTTTTCTTGCAGCCACTACACCCTCTATATATATATATATATAAATTCTGTATTTAATTGCATAGAGTTAACAAAAATGTTACATTAAAAGGCTTACAAAAAAAAATAAAGAAATGGACTGCTTCTCTATTGCTTGTTTTTATCAGAAAAGCCAACTAAAAGACAGTCAAATGTTTTTATCAGAAAAGCCAACTAAAAGACAATCAAAGTACCAAACAGGGACACGAGTTCATTACTCAGCCATTGTTCTCTCCTTTTGATATTCAATCTCTATACAAAATAAATCTTGCAATTTCATTGAGTCCAGCCTCCTTATAGCATTCAGCAATGCGCTCTAAAGAGTCAGCCCAGGTTCCCTCAATAGAAGCTAAATCCAGAAGAAAAGCAGCCTCATCCAATGCAATCTGCATGGAGAAATCAGAATGAACACTTTATTATAAAACCTCATATCAAGGTCTAATCATACAAAAGCTTCCCTTCAATTAAGTTTGAAAAGCAAATTAAACAAAAGAACTCCACCACATCGGTACCTGGACAGGTGCCTTTCCCTTTTTCAGATCTTCTTGTCTACCCTCTTCTGTCACCTTTTCCTTTATGTATTCGATTTGTTCATCCTCCCATTGTGCAATGCAGGCAATTTCCTGGTTAATTTCAGCAGATGTCACTACACGGGAAAAGGAAAGTAAAGGATAGAATTTGAAAGAAAAGAGGATAAAAATCAAAGAAATGCTCCATGCCTGATATGCGCAGCCTAGAGTCCACCATGGAGATTTCAAAGCCACCCTTGCAGAATCTTTAGCTTCTGAGACACGCCCTACTCTACAGATAGTTTTAAAATTTCTCTTCAGATATAGAGAAGGGCAATGGGGCTCAGTCTAAAAATATCAGATGAAAATATTTAAGAGAAAATTCTACTAACTTCACCAAAATCTCGGCATTAAACACGAATGGCCTTCCAAATCCTGGAAAGAGGTCCCTTTTTGTATAGAACTCTCCTGTCACCATAGCTGAAACCTTCCATTCACAAATGCAAAATAAAGAAAATCTTATTACACTAAGCAATCTCAGCAGCACAAATGTGTTACACAAAGGACGAAAATTTAGAAAATCTAATTACATGATCCCCTTGCTCAAAATGTCGCATCACTTTACGCTCTAAAACATCTGGAAACAGACCAACCTGAAGGACAGACAATAAATTGTCACCATGCATCGAGAAGATTCCCTTTTAAATCTTAACTCACAACAGTATATATACCTTTTTCAAGAGATAACTATCAAGGTTCTTAATCGGAGATTCAGCAAAATCACCTCTTCTGTAAAGTTTCTTACCAGCCTCAGAAGAAGCTTCAAATAATTCACCATTGCTTTCTTCTGAGAGGTGAGCATCTTCTTCAACCAAGATTCGATGAATATACTGATCTACCTGGGTTGCGAAAGGAGGAAATTGTAAATTGTCTTTGTGAAAATAAGATCAATATTCTGAGAGAGGGCTTGAGCAAGGGGTTCCTTAATCAACTCTACATCACAAATCCAGGGGGAAAGGAAAAAAGATAAAGAAACGAAGTGAAACTTCCAAGATATCATATAGTAAAATGTCAGGTACACTGAACTAGTTATATATACACATTAATGGCATGCTTTCAGTTTAATGTATTACATTCTTGGCTAAAAGCCACACCCCATGCTTGCGAACTTCCACAACTGGCATCTCCATTCTGTTTGAATAAAAATAGTTGTATGAAGATAAATTAAGAGATAAAAGCTTTGCCAATGTATGTGTGTTTGGTGCAATAGAAATCATACAGATTGCAATGATATAAATTCAAATATCTTACTCAGGTGGAGCTGTTGGCCATCTCAGCAATGCAGTTACAGCACCTACTGTCAGGATATAACAGATATACCAACAGCTTCATTATAAACTCCCCAGTTAAAATTGTTTCACTAGTAAAAAATCATAGAATGCAAGCAAATGTTCAGATAACCTGACAGATTTTCTGAAAGAGGAATGGCCAGGGGTATAAGCCCATGCCTATGTCCAGGAGAAACAATGCTTTCACCTGTAACCAAGAAAAAAGAAACATGATAATAGTTCAAAAATACAAACTATAGAGAACAAGGCGAAATTTTTTATAACTCCACCGGGTTTAACATTCAAGATATAAAAAAATAAATCTGTCAGAAATATAAAGTTAGATTAGCAGCAAACCAAATTGAAATGTGGAACTTATCACAAAACTTAATGAATTGATTAAAACACTTTACTAGAGTCCCTAAAATTGGAGAGCAAACAATGGTTACAGTGTTATTTTACAAACTTGAAAGATATAACTGCTTTGTATTTCATATTCTTCATATTTTTATGGCGCAAAAATATATACTAATATAGACCAAAACATTACAACTAATAAAAAAAATTTAAGAATGAGAAAGAAGAACTCAATTATCCATCAAGACAGAATATAAATTGCTTATATGATTATCCATAAAAAAAGAATATAATTATCCATCAAAACTAACAAACTCAAAGTCTTTTGAAGTTGTGGTAGGAAGTGATCATAGTCTGAACTTCAAAAAATGCCTTTGAATGAAACAAATGGAGAAATAGTCCGAAGCATGCCTGATGCTCCACAAAATAAAGAGTTTAATTAATAGTAGCATTCTACAAAAGTCACTTACTAACAGACTCAAGAGAACTAAGGACCGAATGGGGCAATCATTGAGGATTAGGTGGCAAATTATGATTAGTGGACAGACTTGCACCTAATTGCAGTAACTATATTTGTTTTATTTAGGGATAAATTGAAGAAAAATCACAACACTACCATGTCAATTTATCAAATAATAATGAAATGCTAATCATCATCAGAAATTAAATTGAGCTTGAACTAATTAGGCATATATATCAAGGAGCCATCCTCTGGATTTTTTATTTTTATAAAAAGCACTAGCGACCATGAATGTTCATTCCCATCAAAATTAAAGTCAGAAAAATTTCCACATAGTGAGCACCATCCCACCAATACAGAAGCTTAGACCTCCAAAAAAACAATTAATGGCATATCAATGCTAAATTAGAACCACATATGGTAAAGGCTCATGAAATACTGAAAAAATTGAGCACCCCCCACCTCTAGTGTGAAGCACTTTAAGCAACTCTTCAAGATGCTGAGGAGGATCAGTTGCTGCTATATCTTTGATAAATGACACATGGCCTGCATTTTAATTGACAACAGAAATTTAAATTAAAAACTAGAAAAGTGGGTTCCATTTCATATTCTAATCTCGTCAACATTTTCTAACACATTACAATTAATTTGAAATGCAAACCGGTCCAGCATTCCTGTAACTGACATGAAGAAAGAACCCAGACTTATCCATTCACAAGTACAACCCAGTTCAATATAGATACATCTTAAACTTTCAATAGCAAGAGTTTATAGAAAGTGAGCAATTAAGTATGGGAAAACAATATCAGATAAGTTAATAAAAGAAGAGATATGATTACCAGAAGAAAAAGAGCATCTAATGAGTCGGGGTTGGACGTGGTGAAGAGGAAGTGCGATGGCACAAGGGGCTCTGTGCATGCCTCCCATCAATCCCAGCTTCATTTTGCTGCCCTCTGCAACCTCTCCGCCTCAATTCTACTATTTCTCAACCTCACACTGGCTAAGAAGCAAAAGCAACCACGACCATACGTCGTTGCACATACTTCAAGTGCCAATTTTCAGTTTCTTTTATATTTTTCAATTTCAGCTTTTTTAGCTGTAAAATAATTTTTTTTTTTAAAATAAATAAAAAACCTATTCTTAGTTTTTAAGAATGTTATGCCTAAAAGATCATACTATTGTAAGTTTACATCAGCGAACATCAATCAGAGTTCAAGAAAGCTTTGCGTTGTCTAAGATCTGTCACGTCGCCCCAAGACAGAGAGAATACGACTGTCACCAACCCAACAAGCTTAGGTTTTGTCTGTGAATGAATGAATTCCGCCCACTTGTCCAAGCCTCATATAATTTAAGGATATTTCATAAGTTATCAACCAATGTGACGCAATGAAGGACTTGCACGACACTACCCTATTGTAGACATGTAATCATTACCTTAAATTTAGCGGCTATAAATAGAGGACTCTCCCTAAAAAATTGGGATCTCTCTTATTTTCATAAAAGAAATAGCAAAGATAACCAACGAAAAAGAGACTGGTGTAATATTCTCTCTGAATACCAAGGTTTTGTACCTCTGTTTGCTGTTCGTGACCTCTTGTGACTTGGCTAATAACCAAGAACACTTATATAAAAGAAAACAGTAGATGTAGGAATCGCTTTAAGCATCTGAACCACTATAAAATTCTCACTGTCCCATTTACTATTTGGTCTTTGCATTTTATTATAATCTTATCCTAACTCTCAAATTAATTACGTGTAATTTCTAAGATCTGCTTAACACTTTGCATTTGTGAGGTCGTTGGTGTCAGAACCACACATCAACAAAGATTTACCTATATATTCGTTTTTTTTTTTTTTTTAATGATTAGTATGTATTAAGTCTTTCTATAAATAACTATTTCTTGATGGTCGAATTGTTTGATAGAGACGTCTTGGATAAATTATTCAAAAGGCTTTGAGTTCGAATCTCTCATTGGGTGATAATAGAAATAGTCACTATAACTCTTACTTGACTAATAATTTTAAGGTTTTGAGAGATAAATTGAAATATGTGTAAACTAGTCTGCATACTCTAATCATAAAAAAAAAAAAAAAAAAAAAAAAAAGTCTTTCCATGAAAGAATACTTGAAAAACTAAAAAGTATTGCTTCTTTACTATATATATCAAATAATTTATAAAATAAATTGAACACCATTTTATCTCCGAAAATAAATTACTCCAATCTTAGAAATAAAATAAAAATGTTTTTTACTATTTAAAAAATTGATTTAACATGTTACAAATACAGTACTTATATAAACTATATCATAGTGGCTTATATCAAAAGGCTTTCTGCAAGCATTGGTTAATGCTTTATAATTCAACACTCCATTCTAATGTGAGATTATTATAAAGTTAATAATACAGTGCTTTCATGTGTTTTGAGTATTTTTTTTTTTTTAACCCTTTCCTTGTACAACACATCTGTACACAAATTCTTGAACAAATCTTTTCTGTATAATTGAATTCACAATTTGAACTGTAATTTCCTCCTACATCTTGTTGGAGACTTCAGCTACTGTGGCCGCCTCTTTCATTTCAAGCAACGCGTCTTCAAAACACTTTGCCAGAAATTCTGGGTCAGGGATGATGTCTTTGGCGACCAGGATTTGCATATCAGCTCTTCCTGCATAGCTCACCACGTGCATCGTCAACGCCTGCATATGCAAACACTTATGTTATATGCAAAGTTCAATAATATTATCAGATCAGTTTAAACTGTTAAGACTAAAAAAGTTGTTTCTGTCAAATGCATTTAGAGAATTTACATACATGGGGCAGGCTACTTGTATTCGCCCTGAGATAAGTTACAGGGTTGCCAGCAAGTGTAATTTCTTCTTGAGGACCAACTACATTTGAGATTGTGAAGCTGGTATTGCAAACAATCCTGTAATTCAGCAGGCAAGCAAACTACAATACGAAAACAAACAAAAATCACAAAATCATCCATCTGCAATGAATCTGGAAAAAACTGGAATTGAAGTTTACTGGTAATTCTTTAATTAGGAGTCCTGAAATAATTTTATCAGGATATTCTGAAAAGGTAAAGTTCATTATCTTTCAATTTTATCCTCACCTTTGATCCAAACCAGGACATTACAAGATGACCAATTTTGTATGAGAAATGACCCTCTAAAGTTCGTTTCTTCCTGTCGATCATCGCCTTAGCTCTCCTCAAATACGCCAGGGGATCAGATTCAGGACCGGCTTTGTGATAATAAACAGGAAGAAGAAGCATGCCAAATTTATTCCCCCAGCGTGATCCTGAATTCTTTCTTTTCATCATTTCGGATAATTCCTGAACCGACCCGGAAGATTAACATTCCACGAACCTGTCTTGAAATTATTGATAGTACAGGAATTGAAATATATTGCAAAAAAAGTAACCTGCAATCCTGGTTGTTGTCTTAAATTAATCATGGCTACGCCTGTCATCCGAAGTCCCTCTGGTAGAGCTTCTAACAGAAATTTATAACTCAAATTTGTTATATTGCAAATCAGGGAAGATTAGTGTTTGATTGTAGTGCAAAACTACAATTTAGGGAGTAAAAATATTACCGTTTGGCGATCGGTGATCCAGGTATCTTGATAATCCAGATGACACCACTCCAAAAAGAACGTCATTGATGGTCTGCATTGTACCACAAATTTGATCAGCAATAATATTAGTATTAATTCAAGGATATTCTTTTAATCACAAATTTGAAAACATTTTTAACATCAAGTTTAACAATAAAAACCCATAAACACCATCTTTGTCTTTTGTTATTTAAAAAAGAAAATCATTATTTATTGTCATGAACAAATACTACTACGTCTTTATTTTTAAAATCTTGCATTAGACGACATTTTCAAGCAAGTTATCGTAATCTTAGAAACATCAAATATATTTTGAGAATATCTTTAGGCAATACTAAGCTGACAAATAAATCTCACAAAGTTGATAATTGGTTTTTGATGAATTTTCCCGTTTGATAAATTCATCAAAAATCAATTATCAACTGCTACGTTGAGTTTGCGAAAGAGTTTAAAAGCTTGTGATATTCGTTTTTCAACCTATTTTTATTGAATATCTTTTGGTTGATATTTACACTTTACCAATAAAGACATTGTACATTCCCATTTAATTAAAGTTTATATTGATTTTGTGTTAAATTATGAGAATACACAAAATAAAAGTCTGCTTTGTAATAATCTGAATGGTTTATCCCTTAAGGAAAGGAAAAAAAAAAAAAAAAAGGCAATAGCATTAGATCCGAGGTAAATACTAAATAGTTCATCCCATTGTTATAAATTTGACTTAATATATTCTTGAATATTAAAGTATTTTTTTGGTAAATTAATACTAAAAAACTCTTTTACATTTTCCTAACCAAAACAAGTCCATAGAGTCTATTTTGTGGACTTATAGACTTTCTAAAAGAAGTTATTTAAAATCATAAACTTTTTTAGTGTTAAAATTTTAAAAATTGTTTGATCGTATTTATAAATTTACTATTATGTCATTCTTAAGTTAAACTTGACAAATGGATTTTAACATAGATGAAAAAAGTGTTATTTTGAAATTTGATGGGTAAGAAAGTGTCATTTCGCCGAACCTTGGGTGGCAAAATGTGGTACTCCCTATTTAAAAGGTTTTTATATTTTATGTTTTTTTGTGTAATAAATCCGGTGACGTGGACTAAACTCGTCTCTCTCCTACAAGCATGCCCATGGGCCCATCAATTATTGTTGGCTTTGGCTTTTCCTTTTCTAGATTGGGATTTCCACTAAATTCACTGTTTACGAAATTTAGGTTTTATTTGTTTATTAAATAAATATTAAACGACCAGAGCAAAGTGAAACAACAACTAAAATCTAAGTTTATTAATTATATTAACCCAGAATTTGATTTGACTAAATGCCCTATCAAAACATGTTTTCAAGTTATTCACTATTTACAAAGAAATTTATAATTAAATAAATAGTAGACTATTTTTTTCCACCCAAACAAAGAATGATACTTTTCCAATTATAAACGTTTAAAATACTATTTTATTATATAAATTTATATTATATTTTAAATTTTGGTATCGTGATAACTCTCAACCACCATCATTCTCTTCTCTGATCAGTAGTCACTAAAACCATTCAAACCCTACTTTTATCGACTTTGTCAATCGCCGATAATCGAGTGATTAGGTTGTACAGCAGACCATCCTAATTCAAATTTAAATTAATCCCAACTACAAAAATCCAATCTTCCAACGTAAAAAAACTCATTAACCTTCCCTCGTCAAAATCTCCAATAATTTGGATAAGGTTTACTCTCTGTTTGCCTTTGCAATATAAATTTGAATAATAAAAAAAAAAATAGCTTCGTTTGATTCACTTTTTTATACTTTTCAGAAAAGTTTTTGAAAAAAAATTTAAAAAAAGTTAAATTGGGCAGGTATTACAATGTAGAATTTGAAAATAAATAAAAATACCCTCTATATTTGTTTATTTTAAACACCCCATATGTTTGTTTATTTACTAAAAACTCCTATAATAAAATATTAAAAGTTAACAAAAACACTCTCAACCCATCTATTAAATATGAACAGCCAGCCACCACCATCGGAGAATGGTCGGAGTCGTCGTATCGACGCATGACTGGCTGGATCTTGCCGGTCTTGCATCGATCTGGCCATTGACGGCCAGATCTGGCCGTATTTACTTTTCAACGACGACCAAAGATACGGCCATCGTTGATGGTCAACGACGAACATGTGTTAACCGTCGTTGACGACTGACTACGGCCAAAGATTTGACTTTTTTCGACCAAATTTATCATGGATATGGTCGGAAAAGGCTAAATCGACGCACAACCAACCAGATTTAGTCGGTAGTGCACTATTATACCAGATTCTGACTATTTTTCGACGGTGGTGACTGAAATCTGATAAATATGGGTTGTTAGGGTTTTTTTGTAATTTCTAAAAAAATATTTAGAAGTATTTAATTAAATTAATAAATTTAAGCGATTTAAAAATATTAAATAATATTGAATAATATTATAAGTTTTTATAATTTTACTATTTAATTTTTTTTGGAAATACTAATAGTAGTATTCCAAATGTGAGCCAAACAAAGCCAAGATATTTTAAAATCCTATCGTGAAACAGTATCATTGACGCCTTATTTGAGTGGAAAAAACTGTTAACTCTTAAATAAATAAATATTTCCTAAGTACATTTTCATATACGAAACACAATATAAATCTAATTAAGTTTTGAACTCTTACCGCATTATCAATCGCCCTTTTTACCGCTTTCATATCATCGAACCGAAACGTGGCCGTTGCGAGCTTCCTCGGCCACAGCTCCACTCCAGCGCCGCCGCTGATGGCCGTTTTCCGATCACAAACCCACAGAGTTCTCAACACAAACTCCATACAAAACACCAAACTGAACCAAACCATCTTCACAAACCCCACCACGACCTCTCTCCAATCCCTTCCCAAACTATTATCCCTCTTATTCCCGACCACCCCCACCGTAGGCAACGCCTCGGTGTCCGCCGCCCTTCGGCAGCTGGCCAACAACATGGACACCAACGAAATCCCATCGCCCAAAGCGTGATGAATTCTGAACACGGCACAGTTGTGACCTTCCAACACGTGAATCTCCCACAAGGGCTTGTCGTTACTCAGCGGGGAACTCACTGACAAGTCCGCCACGTAGTCATTGACGGACACGAGGTTATGATCGTGAGCGACGACGATGACGTGGCGGTCGATGTCGATGTGGGTTTTTCTCCAATGTTCAAAGCCACGGGAGTCACGGACCATGAGGCTGGAGAATCGAGGGTGTTGAACCATGAGGGAGTCTCTGATTGTGGACTTGACTTCGGCCACGTCGACGGGGTGTTTGAAGCCGACCACACAGTGGATTATCGTGTTCATCTCCGGACGGAGGAAGAGGCGGCCGGCCGGCGTCAGTGGCTCGTCGGGTTCGTTTGGGTGGGAGTCCATTAGAAAGAGTCGGGTCAAAATGAGTTAGCTACTGTAGTAGATATTTGAAGACGACGACGGAAGATGTGGTCCAATGAATTGAAAAATTTGTGGCCCAATGGCAATAAACAGCGGGCAAATGAGGTAAGAAGAAATATAAATTTGAGAACCCATTTTATTTATATAAAAATATATTCTGCAAATCGAGAGGCTTCGTTAAATATCATACTTCGCAGATCCTGAGGCCTCATCGAATTTCAATAGAAGCTAAAGAATTCTGGTGACATAGTCATTAATGATTAATGAAATTACTTAAGTGTCTCTGGGTGACTAGTGGTTGGATGGATACTGATTGGTATATTATTCAAAAATTTTGAATTCGAGTTTTTTATTGGGTGTTAATAGGGATAATCATTGGAGTTTTTATCAGACTAATAATTCTAGAGTCTCGAGAGATTAATTGAGATACGTATAAATTGATTCAGACCGATGATTAAAAAAAAAAAAAAACCTAAATTCATGTTATTTAATTTAATATGATGGGTGTGTTTGGCTGATTGCTACTTGATAACTGGGACAACAATATTTTATTATTTGGACCACTTGCATTAAGAATTGGAATTAGTTATTGTATTTCTTTTAAATATGAGTAATGCTACACTTATGTTATTTTGTAAACATCATGATATGACATATGTTATAACCACACAAATTCTATTATAATATTAAAAATTTAAAATAATTAAAAATTTGTGTGGTTGTGACATATGCCACATCATAATGTAATGAAAATTGTGTAAAAGAGTTATGTAAGTGTAGCATTACTCTTTAAATATATTTATTTAATAAGGGTTAATTTCATTGCGCCTTAGAAATTGTTTAAGTATCTCATTGATTTTAGAAAGTATTAAAAAACTTCTTTGTCAATGTTTTATTTTGACATTTTTAGGAGGTTTTTGATAATTTTATAAAAATATTTAATACTTTTTCGAACATTATTGATAATTGAGAGACTTAGCTATCCCTAGGAGAGAGCAAAATGAAGCCGTGTTTGAATAATGTTCATAATTTGTTTTTTGTTTTTTTAATGATCAGAGGTGTTTGGATTAGTTTATACGTACCTCAACTAATTCTCAGGGAGCCTAAAACTATCGACTGGGTAAGAGTTCCAATTGCCATCCTTATTAGTAACTGAAAAGGAATTCGAACTCAATACCTTTTAAGTAATACAATCCATGGTTTTAAAACCTGGATCGGTCCGGCTGGTTTAACCGGTTGGATCGGAACCCAGGGCCTTCTTCAAGTTGGGTTACTCTTTCAACTGTTTAAAGTTTGAGATCTAGCAAACACACCCTTTGGCTAAATGCAAATCGGCGATGACCTCCCATTTTTTGACGACCTTCTACCTTCCCTTGTTGTCGAAAACCACCTTCTGACTTTCTCCGGGGTCGTGACGCTTCATCTCCTGCCTCCGCACGATGTTTCGTCGTCTAGCAATTTTTCTTCCATTTCCTAGCGTCGATCGGCCTTCTTTGGCATCAATAGGCCTCTTCAGCTACCGATCTACCTTCTCCCAAGCTCTCTTGCCGTCGTTCACAAAGATCCATAGTCATCTCGCAAAAAAAAAAACCACCGCAACCGTTTGACTTCCACCATCGATCTACCATTTTCCGGCGATGCCTTAACTTGCCAGCTACCGATTCGTCCTCCCCATCACCCGATCTATCCTCCCTAGTGTGTCGCCATCGCTCTCACAGTAGATCGCCGATTTTCATTTGGCTAGGGGTTGTGTTAGCTAGATTTCAAACCTATAGGGTCTGACGGTATGGATCAGGGGTGTGTTTGCTAGATTTTGAACCTATCAAACCATTGGTTAAACCGGTTAACTCGTGGCCTGGTTGCCTGACTGGGTCACCCCCCGGGTCAGATTTTAAAACCTTGATATAATCAAGAGTCTCTATCGAACCACTCGTCCATTCAGAGGTAGTTGTGTTCATAATTTGTTGTCATGTGTATTTTGACATGAGTTTATATAAATAAAAAAGTGAGATATGAAGTTGAAGAGAGATGAAAAGAAAGGAGTTTATATAAAGAAATATTAAGAAGAGTTTTTGTTGTAATTAATGAGTTAATGGAGTAGTTTAGATGTTAATTGAACTCATTAATGGGCATCAATCATCCACTACCTAGCGCCAAATATTATTCAGATTTGGTAATACTTAAATGTAACATGTGCTTCTTGTCAGTAGCATATTTTGTTCAAGTCAAATAATGAGTTATACCATGAATAAAACAAATTGAAGAGTTTAAAATCCATGCGATTCATCCATTTCCGTTCGAGTTAACAACTTTTTCCTACTCAAATAATGGTTTAATGACACTTTCTCATCCACGAACTTTTAAAATATAATTTTATTATCCAAATTTATATTTCAGCAAGGAACAAAGAATAAACTCGGTCCAAGCTGTTTAGGCTTTTGAAGAGGGGAGGCTGATAAGTCTTTTAGTGGTAAAAGGTTAGATTTTGGTGGTTGGGATTGATCAGAATTTGACTTGGGAAGGGTGGTTGTGTAAACCTTAATTGTTCGATTGCCAGCGATTGGCGGGGTCAGTGGGAGTATGGTTAGAGGGGTTTTAGTGAGTGATGATCGGAGAGGAGAATGGTGGTGGTGTGTAGTCGCAAAGATGCTAGAATCGGAAGCATAATATAAATTTGGATAGTAAAATGATATTTTAAAAGTTTGTGGGTGAGATGGTGTCATTAAATCATTACTTAGGTGGGAAAAAGTCATTTACTCATTTTCGGCCTCATTACACTTTAAGAGAAAACAACTTTTTCCTACCTAAGGTTTGAATTAATGACACTTTTTCACATGAAAAGTTTCAAAATACCACTTTCCCACTCAAAGATTATATTCCATTAATATCCAAAATACACTTCACTTTCTCAACTGGCATTCGGTAAGTTACCAAGACCCAAGGTAAGAGGGATTTTGTAGAGTGGAGGTCGGTGGATCGAATGGTGGTGACCAATTAAATATTCGTTGCTGGAATCAGTCGGAAATCAGCTAAGAACATGAAACTCTAGCTTTGCGGTGGCTGACAATCGACAAGAAATCAGGTGCTGTTGTGAGAGGGGTTTTATAGTGAAGAGACTAGAAATTTAAATGGTGGTGACAGAGAGAATTTTTTCCGCCAGAATCTGCTTTCGGTAGTAACCAAATATTACCTTTGGGTGGAAAAGTTATATTTTGAAACTTTTTGGGTGGGAAAGGTCATTTACTCAATTAAATTAAATTCCTACTATTAACGTTCAATGCATACTCCAGGTCACCATATAGAAATGGGCACCATTAATCAAGTATGGATCCAAGGGATTAATAAACTTATTTGGACGAGAAATTATATGCAAAATCTGGTGTTAATATAACATTATACATATAAAATCTCTATATTGCCTTAAATAATGTCATCACTTAATAAAATACTAAATATGTAAATGATAAATTAGTATGATAAGTGCCATTATGATATAAAATATAGAAAAAACATATTAGAAATTTTGGAATACAACTATGAAGTATTTAGATTCAAAGATCAAACGACCAAAAGTATTTGCTTATCGTATTTACAATAACAATGAAACACAAAAAATTTAAAATTGTTTATGGAATCATACCGTAATCGATAATATAAATACTTGAACTTATTATCATACATTATTGAAAAAGCATTATATTTTACTATATAGTTTTGTATTTTTAAACAATATTCAATAGAAACCGATGAAACAAAAAATAGTTTTAAGTATAACAATTGCAATTATTTATAGAGCAAACGACATATTCCTACCCGAGGTTTAGCGAAATCTCAAGTTGATACTCTTGATTGTATTTATTCCAAATTCTCACCCTTAAAAGTTAAAATAACGTTATCGCTTTTATTTTAACAGATTTCCAATTTTTCATTGTAGTGTAGCGCATGTTAGCATGCTAAACCAGCGTTTTCTTTGGCAGAAGATGGGCTTATTTTAGCAAAAAACGGCTCATATTAACAATGTTCAAGTCAACGATTTTTGGCTTTTTGACTAACTTTGAAGTCCAAAATCACTTCCGAAACCATCATTGGACTCCCCACAACCTCCTCTAACAAACCCATACCTTCACTTGCAGACCTCACTCACCGTTTCTGACCACTTCCAATAGTCATTAGGGAATCTAAAATAAACGCAACCAAGGGTATCAACTTGAGATTTTGCTAAACCTCGGATGAGAATATATCGTTTACTCTTATTTATAACATGAAAGTTGTTATGCCTAAAAAGTCAAGACTAACGTGGACTCTCGTCAACAAGAGCCAATCAGAATTCAGGGAGGCTTTGTGCCATCTAGACTTTGCCACGTCGCGCAATGACGGAAGAGGTATGGTTCTTGTCAGTGCAGTAGGTATCCTATGAATATCCCTCAATGAGAATCCCGAGGATACATGTCTGGAGAACGAGTTGTATTTAGAAAAAATCTGTATAAGGGTAATAATAAATATCCAAAACATGCATATAAAATATCACGTAGGATCTAAACTTATAATGTACAAAACTTTAAGAAATTACAAGATCAAAACATATTTATAGGGGGAAGCTTCCAAATTATTTCACAAATATTTATCATTTACATATTTACACAGATAAAAAACATCGAGATGATAATAAATCATTCCCCACGTGTAGTCCCGCTGTCTCTAGCATCCCTCGCTTTAGTACTTGCAAAGCAATCAACAAGAAAGGTGAGCGCTAATCGCAGTAAGGAATGATCCGTTTATCTGTTAACACATCACTTATTTTTTTTTTTACATCTAGGGATACTTCCTTTTATTACTAATTCATATGCTTTTCATCATTTTATCCCATGGCTATATAAACACAAAGTGTACACACATCACATATCATGACATAACATCTAAAATCATCTAACAGAGTATAAATCATCTTATGATGTAAATAACATCATAACTCATGTAATGCAACTAAAGCATATGAAACATTTAACATCTAGCTGATCGGACCTTCTTAGCATCTAAGCACTTCATATCATCTAGCCTCAAATTTCATCTAGAGCCATATCATCGGGAGGCGTGCTTACGCGTTATTTAGCATCTA